AATTAATATTTTATAATGAACACGGAATACAAAACGAATTAAGAAATGAAATTAAAGCTGAAAGGAAGCTAAAAATAGAATCAGCAAAATAATATAATTATTAAAATCCATCAAACCCAAACTCCAAAACTCCATCAGTTTACAACTCGAGAATCCATCTCTAGTGGACCCCTATTAAACATCCAAACGGAAAATAAAGCAACTGTAATAAACATCCAGAAATAAACTATGGAGTGAGTCCTACATCGTCGGAAGAGTGAATAGGGACCTCTGCACAACACAAACACGTCTAAGCCTGGAACTGTCGTGTACCTGAAAAATAGAAGTGGATCAGGCCCACGCGCAAGTTCTATACTACTACAATCCAAACAGAGGCCCGATACGCATGTATATCCTAAACAATTTAACAATAGCTAATTGTCCGTAAATATATATATAGTCGCACTAAAGGACTCTCACTGGACTACAGGCCGGTCTCAACCTGAATAGAGGTAACATGCTAAAATGCATATGAAGTTGGCATATGTACCTATACCTAAACAGGGTACACCTCTAACCATCATATCCAGCTATGCATCCCAATGCATATACGCTTCCTAACCGTCGATCCTGAGACTCAAGCTCATATCGAGGTACCATAACAATATATTTAAAGTCCATCCCGAATCCTGGTAGTGCCGCTCAACTAGTCGTTGCCATGACACTACAATTAATATGACTTAACTTTTAGTTAATCCAATTCTTAATCCAGAGTAGATTGGTTTTGGTATTTTGAAACCAAACCATCCCTAGTATATCACCGTCCCATACCGGTGTATATTATCCAATCATCCAGCAGTTGATAATACAGACAACTACCATAAATATCAACTCAATCCATATCTCCCTTTCTGATACTAATAGTCATATTGGAAGCATCAATAACACAGTCAACCATATCCATAAACAGGCTCAGTTTTATATCCATTACTGATACTCTCAATTAAGCACAGTCAAAATATTTTCTACACATGCTCAGTTTATAGTGTTCCACAAAATCTGATTTAGTGCTAAGTTTAAATCTTATTAGTATCCAACATCCAGCAGTTGGTATTACAGTCAGTTAAGATAACCATTAGCTATGTCCATTCCTCCAACAAGTGATACTAGCAGTGGTAAGATAAGCATCAACAGCAGAAACCACAGTATGTACATAAACATGCTTAATTTAAGTTGTTTTACAAAATTTCCTTTAGTGCCAAGTTTAAGACTTAATCTCATTCAACTCTAACACATCCCAGAAGAGTATAATTCAGATACATGCTCATGTTATAGAGTTTAACAAGTTCCAGTTATATCATCCGTCTCACAAGATTTCTATTGCAGAGAGAGTTAAACACTCCTAGCTTCACAGATTTAAACATAGTTTAAATACCTGATTAAGTCCCTACTGTCCAAGCTAATCTAAGTAAGCAGACTTAATTAACACCACAACAGAAGCTTTAATCTAACCATATACATCAATTAAACCCTCCATAATCACCCTGTATTCAATTGAATACTCCAAAAACAACTACTGCATGCAAAACTTACTGGAGAACAAAGGAAAAAAATAAAAATTCACCAAAGGAGACGTCTCCGAAAAGTGGAGCCGCCTCCTTTAGACCTTGGAGCCGGCTCCACTTTTTGGAGCCGCCTCCACCTAAAAAGGGAGCCGGATCTCTCCAACGGAGAGCCGGCTCTCTCCCTCTTTGTCTCGTTTCTTCGCCCTCTATCTTCGTTTTTACGCCTTTGCTACCTCACGCCATGATTTTCGGAAACTGTAACCCACTCCCAGTACATCCCAGTTCGTGCTTAAGTCCAGTTAACATTACACACATTGCTTTAAACAGAGATTCATGCAAGCAAACAACAGGTTCTTAACAGTTTTACAAAGCGTGAAAACTTGTAGACCAGTTTCGGTTTAAGCACAAACAAAGAATGTTTTAATTGATCTGATTAATCCTAAAATTATTTAAGAATGCAAAGAACATGAAACCTAAGGGAGAGAGTGAGGATAGAACTTGCCTTACACCGACGTTCGTCCAAATCGTCCGACCGAATCCTCTGTTTACTTTCTGTTTTCCTCCCAGCCGTCTCTAAACTCTTTGTATCTTACTGTGGCATAATATCCTTCTAAAAACCCTAGGCAGACACCCTAGAGGAGTATTTATAGGCCACATTAATCCTAGACTCTCTTAAACCCTAAGTGGATTTGCTCGGCCCATAGAGAAAATTAGGTTAAATGCACTGTCGGTTGTGAGCTATGATTCTAATTTATAACCATCCATATGCAACCTTCCCTACAGCCACGTTAAAAACAGAAACTAATTTAAACTAATAATGAAAACTATCAATTAATTCAAATGAAACAAATAATAACAATTAAAGCAAATAATTCCCATAACTAAACAATTAACCAGTCAAATTGCAAACAAACAGTTAAACAATAAATAAATAAAAAAACAATCAAAACAAATAAAACAGAGTTACAATTAAATCACAATTAATTAATGCCAACCAATTCATCATTTAAACAAATAAAACTCAACTTAAACAATTAAATAAATTTCCAGGTCTATCCTTTTAAATTAGGGGTATTACAGCTCCAGAGCCTTTGTGTTGCAGCTTGCATAGCTTTGAATGGGAGTCTTTTGTGGGGGTATATACCAACAATATGGTAGGAAGACCAAAAGAAATTTCCTTCTTACACAATCTCCAGCGGAGGATCAACGTAACCTACTGAGGGGGGTGCAATAAATTCAAGGGACATTACATCTATGGGACTGTGAGTTCTAACAATATCCACCCAGGCTTTGTTAAATTGGTGGATAGAGGCAACAGTGGTAATGGTGATGGGGAGTTGGTAGATGTGGTGAGGGGTTCACTGTGGGGGCCACTGTAGGAATGATAGTGTCACAGTCAATACTTTTGACTAAACAGCCATTTGGGTTAGAACAAATAATCTTTTGGTGAGTTGGTAAGTTGTCAGAGCATACAATAAGGGTGAGGCTATGATGTACCTGTGACATGGGGGGACATGTGGGTGAGTTTGAATTCTGATTCAAATTTGAATTTGCATGTGGAGGTGTGTGACTGACGTGGTGGTTGGGGTAGTGGTGGAGGGTTGTGCAGTTTTGCTGCTGCTGTTCCGGTAGAGGAGGTGGATGAAAGGATTCATCATCATGAGGGGAGGTGATGTGGTTTGTAGTGACGATTTGATCGCCGAGGGTTGGGTTATTTAGTGCGTGAGGTTCATTCTCGGTAAAAAGCTTGGTTACTCTATCCTCACCAGCCCGTGGTTGCCTAAGTTCAGCGACTATCTTTTTCAGCTCAAGGAACAGAGTCAAGAACCTAGAAGCCTCCTTTAACATACCTTGGACCTTCACCAGCTCCAGTTCCTTTTCTTGAAGAAGAGACTTGAGCCTTGCAATTTCTTCAATGAGCTCAATTTTTTCAGCATCCATAACCGCCGTATCAATGCCATCAGGAAGTAGGACCACATTGCTAACTTCAAGCCCAGAGGGGTTTAAGAGCCTGTCATTTTGCAATGCACGCCTAACCTTTTTTTTCATAAATCCTGTAACTGAAGGTGAACGTGGAAGTAGGTGATTAGGATAATTATGTCTTGATGTGTTGGAGGAATTTTTCTTGTCCACAATATTTTTTGTGGGTGGAAGTGGTGGTTTGGCTGTATTAAGGGTTTTGAGATAGGTGACAACTTTTTCTTGTGTAGGACGGGAGGGTATTGTTTTGTGACTATTGTTTAGGTTGGGTGGAGTCTGATACAGTTTGAGAGGGTGGTGGAGGGATTTTGAATTGTTAGCTGGTAAGAATGGTGGTTTTAGATGATTCGGTGGCCGGCGATGGAACTCAGGGGGTTTCATGATAGAGAGAGAGAGAGGGGTTGATCCTTAATCCCCACTACTGGTTGTGAGATGAAGAGTTTCATGTATTCCTTCATGTATTCAATACAATATACAATATAATATTTTCCCATTCCTTTATTTATAACGTAATTAACGAATCAGCCCAAAGGCGGATCCAGGGGTGGGCGAAGGTGGGCTTCAGCCGACCGTAAAAAAAAAAAAAAAAAAAAAAAAAAAAAAAAATATATATATATATATATATATATATATATATATATATATATATATATATATAAATGGTAGCCCACCCCAAATTAGTCCAATCTAAAGTTAGCTCACCTCATTCAGAAATGCTTGATCAGCCCTTGAATCAGCCCCATAAATGTTTAAACTGTTCATCACTAACTTTGTATGTGTTCATGAGCATAAACAATTTAGAATTGACTTATTTAAAATTCAACTTGATTTTGTCTATTAAGTAAACAAGTTAGGTTCAAGCTTAATTTTTTAGCTCATTTAATAAAAAATTAGTCCCTTAAGCTTGCCTCATATGAACTCATGAACGCTAACCTCCTGTAGATTTACGTGTGTTTATATAGATTTATGAACACTTTCATAAATAAAAATGCGTTGAACATGCACAAAATCTTTCGTCTACGAACGCATTCAAAGGTGTAAATAGTGTAATACCTTCATTTTGAAAGACATAATTAAAAATATGTTGAACATGTACAAAATGGAAAGAATACATGTTGAGTAATGTAGGGATTTTTGGTTTAACTTTCATAAAACATTTCTCAAAGACTCAATAAAATAAAAACGAATTTTAAAGAATAATAACAGATTTTTCCTTGAAAATATACAATTTTATAACTAATTTTTTTTAAAAATAATTTATAAAACTAGCACCCAAAAAAGACAGTTTTATGATTTTTTAAATTGTTCTTAAAAAACTGAACTTAAAAGACTTCTCTTAAATTTGCAACTACGTGAGGGTCAATCTAGAATACTGAAAGAATATAAGGGTATTTACAGAAATCTCAATATCTCAATGAAGTGACTAATATATCCTCCATCTTTAGGAAAATTATCTTTTGTGTCTATTGGGATAAAATCAACCCAACTTCTGATACCCGTTTGAACAAGAAGGAAGAAGATAGGGCCTTGAAGCAGAGAAAAGCAACCAAGGTAAGCTTCAAAGTCTGATCAAACTCCAATAAATGAGTTTGTCTAGTATCCATATGACTGTGTTAACTTACTTGTATTTCAATCTTTAAACTCCACACAACATTAATTAATTGTACCCAACTCTGTCATTATACAATTGTTGTAATGGGATTATGTATTACCCGTTGTTTCTACATCTTTCGCTCCCTTTCTTTTCTAAAATTGTGTGTGTTTGTGTGTGTGTATTGAATTATATGTCTGAATCAAGAATTGATTTACACTATATGCAACTTTATGTGGCTCTGGGTTTTTTTTGGCTTCTTTTTATTTTTTTTGGATACAAAATTATAGATTGATTGTACCTGAATGAAGTTATGGCATAGTACTGTTTAACCAATAATTTTCTATAAATATGGAAAATTCATTAAAGGCTCAAATTTATCATGATGGAACAATTAGAAAATTTAAAGTCATTGGAATATGAGAAATAATATACTAAGCTTCGGCTTATCACCTGGACTTTCAGAATAAAATGCTTAGTTTATACATTTATTTTGCATAAAATTTACTTCTTGATGCATTTCCTCACCCCTGAATGAGAATGTAGTTTGTAGTAGTAAGAAAACCGCTATATATGTTATGACACCAATCTTTGTTTCATGAAGGTAGATGGCATGCTCATTTTGTGTTGGTACTTAAAGAGGTAGCTGTGGTGTGTCGAATGCACTGGACGTAGCTTATCTGTTTGTTGAAATTTGGAGCCAGGATGGCTGCTTTTCTTGCAGTGAAGAGATGCCCCACAATTGTTTCCAATTCGATTGAGAAAGTTTCAGAACCTGTTAACAAGTGTAAGTAGCTGTTTTCATATAAGGACTTTTGTTTGAAAGAAGGAACAAGTCTGTTTAGATGGGGGACTGGAACTTTTCGTAGTTTTGATAATAGTCTTTTCATAGTTTTCCTTTCCTTTAATGCTGTTTGCCTAGATAAAATGTGTTTAGTCATCCACCGTGAAATTGAAAACCACGAGGAGGAAGTTTGTAATAATTTTAAATGTTCAACATGGAATCTGACTTTTCGTAATTTTTCTCATAGTTACAACATTTCCCAATTTTGTTCACAAATATGAAACACATGGTGTCCTTAGTCGTTTGTCCCATGAAGGTAAGTACGGTAAGAAATATTAGGACACGAAGTATCAATCTTTCACCAATTGTCTGCACTGCATGGCCTTTTTGTGTACCAATTCACCGGGATTATTCAAATGCATTTTATTGTATCAAATTACCTGAATTGCAATTTTGCTGAAAATCCTGAACTTATCTCTAGCTCACATAGTGTTTTTGCGTTCCCTGATTATGTTGTTTGTGTGTCCTTTTGCCACAGAGGCACTGAGATGATTTCTTTATCTATTTCCATCCAGATGCAGTTGTTCGTCATGTTCATTTTGTTTTTCTTTGACTGTTTTCTGCAACATAACAGATGAACAGCAATCCAGATGTCAGCTAGTGCTACCCTCCCAACGAACACCTTCTCGTCGGCAACTTGTTTTAGCATGTGGTAGTGTTTCATTAGTTACCATTGTGAACCTCAACTGTAGCTTAACGCCATTACCAGCTTGGGCAGGAGATGAGTCAGATAGCCAAGAGGACAAGGATGAGGGCGTCGTTGGGGCCGTAAAATCGTTATTTGACCCTGACGAGAAAACAAAGTCTGGGAAAGTGTTGCCAAAGGCTTACTTGAAGTCAGCTAGAGAGGTGGTGAAGACACTGCGTGAATCATTAAATGAAGACCCCAAGGACATTGCTAAATTTAGACGGACTGCAGAAGCAGCAAAGGAGTCAATCCGAGAGTACTTGAGTGGTTGGAAGGGGCAACTAAAAGTAGTCAATGAGGTACCTTCCTTTGCTAGCTTGTCTGAGTTCAATGCACATGGTGATTTCTCATTCACCTATCTTGAGATTTGGTCCGGTATTGTTAGCAGTGATTTCTAAGGAGAATAAGAACAAAATTTTAAGACTCATCCTTGCCTTCGTTACATCTTTTTGGACCATTTTACAGTCATATAATTTTGTTAGATCTTTATGATCTCTTGAATTGCTTAACTTTCTGTTTTCTCAGGCACATCTTATTATTTCTTTAAATATATATATATAAACTAGAAGGGTACGTGTGCAATGGTTCTATTTCTTTCTGCACTGTTGATTTCTTAAGCTTTATAATTGTTCTTCACCATATAGTTACTTGACCACATTGCTCCAGTCCACTGCTTGTTACCATTTTAACCTCAAATGTTGGTAAATTTCTGTTTTCCTTTTCTTCTGGTGCTCTTTTGGCAACCATAAACCAGATCACAGTACTCTTTCAAGAGAGTAATTTCCTTCTTGAAAAATTGAAATTGAAAGATATTCTTCACGGAAAATTCATTGTGTTTGATGAGTAATATCTGACTTGAATGCATGGATTGAATAATTGTTTTCTGTGCAAATTTTTTTTTTTTTTTTTTTTTAAGTTATGTTTACCATTTTTAGCACCTTTTACTCTCTTTTTTCGTGGATATTTTTATATTGTGGCTCTTCTTGCAGGAATCTTACGTTGAGATTGAGAAAGCAATCAGATCCCTTGCCAGCTTCTACTCAAATGCAGGTCCATCTGCGCCGCTTCCAGAGGGGGTCAAATCCCAAATTATTAACAGTTTAGACGCAGCCGAGGAATTTTTGTAACAAGAATTGTGCCATTATATCATGTCAACTACATCAAGTGTCCAACCAGCACACTTGCAGATGGAAATTCAGCCTCAATCTTTTGCTGTATCCATTTTTCTTTGGTTAATTAAGTCTCGGAATATTTTTGTATTGATACAGTTTTTTGATGTAATTCAATACGTGCAACTAGATTTGTCATTTATATTTCTTCTTGACATGTTTAAAAGATGGTGCAAGCGACAGTTTAGTGGTAACAAGATTGTAATCATACAAAACACTGAAAAATACAAAGTAATAAGAAAGGGAGGATTATACTACTTTTTGCATGGATTAGCAAATACAATTTGATGTTAGTTTTGTGACTCTTCGGAAATTCTTGGAAACTATAAGATCTGTTTGGTTCAGTCTGTTGTGTGTTTTACAATTCTCATAAAACAGAAGTGTTTTCAGAAACCAATGCCATGGTTGTTTATGGATCCGGGGGATTACATTACTACACTGTGAGAACTATGGTTTAATGTTTATAGATTCGGGCAACAATGTCAAATCAAGGTCATATATATTTCTAAATAAGTGAGAGGGTTATTACAATGTGTTTCAATGCGATTGGTTTTTTTTTTTTTTTTTTTTTTTTTTTTTTTTCACTATTGGACTAAAGTATTTGGATTGGAATGAGTTTCATCTTTAATTTAAACAGCAGAACTTGCAGGAGTGCTAATCAATTGTAGAAATACCATGAACAATGCAGTGCTTTTGTCTCAGGCAGTAACAAATGACATAGAGCAAGATGGTACCTATCAGGAAAAGGAAAAATACAACATCATGGTTTAATATTAAAACAGGATGTTTCAAGTCCAAACACCTCACAAATCCAGTAAACAGATTTATTGGTAATTTTGTAGGAAACTAAGCACAACTGGCAAATGAAGAACCCAGCGTGTAAAATTATTAGAAAAATAAATTACGTCAAATGAAAGACAACACTACTATTTTATTCTCTAGCTTTAACGGGGCCAATAACCTAAAACAAGAATCTGTCTGCCTTCTGCACTTCTAATGTCTTTAACATCCCTTGCCAGAACAGGAAAGACAACAGCATATTAGACCATTTTTTGCGAGAGATTATTATATGGTCCGGGACTACATGGTCTAGGCTAATCACAACCCGCCACAAAAGCAAAAAACTGAATAAAGCTGACACATTTCCTTGCATGGCGGGTTGTGATTGGCCAGCACCATGTAATAATTTCTCTTTTTTTGCCTCGTACTTCATCGAATGATAGTAACTGCAAAAGATGAGCAATCATCAGAACAATCTCAATGTTGTATATTTCGGGAAAAAAAGGAGGTTGGATACTACCTTATGGTTACCATAATCCACTTTTGGCATCATGACTTTGAAGAATCAAGAACGGGATAGAACACCTTTTGAGCTGCACATAGACAATAACCACTGCAACTTTAGATTGAGTTTTACATGCCATGATACTAAGCATGAAGGTCAATGAACAGTTTTAGAAAATGCAGGGGAAGACTCGATTGTTTCCAAGCAGGCAAGGAAACAATTTATTGTACTTCATATTTACTCAAGCAGGCGAACCTACAACACTGAAAGCTTACAATACCTATTAGCCCCCTATTTAGTTGGAAACATGTTCAAAATACACCAAATTGAAAAAGAACCGACTCCAACAATCAGTTTAAAAAACACGGAATAAAATTTTTCAGCTTTAAACCTGCAAATCAGAACACGGTCATCAAAGATAACCCTCACTCATAAAGGAATTATCCAAGGTTTATCTGAATAAAAAGGCACACTTCCTAGGCACACCTAGAAGTGAAAATGGAAACAAAAAACTATTAAGCACTAGCTATACACCGAGGAAGCAAGAAAAGTTTTTCATAACAAAGCCACTGTAATTAAATAGTAATGTAAACTTCCATTTAGCAAGCCAGATTTAAGAGACGAAAACACACCCCAATTAATAGTAGAACAGACTAGTGTGGAATTTGAGGGTAATTGAGAATCAAGCAATCTCTTTAATCAAATAAAAATTCATACCTTGGCACAGTCCCATGACGACGAGGATCATATTCTGTTGCTTGCCGAAGAGCTCTTGCAAAAGCCTTGAATGTTGCCTCAATGATATGGTGAGAATTCTTTCCAGCAAGCTGCTTCCACCAAAATTAAGATATTATGAGAATACTGGAGCTCAAATAAAAAAACCATTAGAACATCCTAGCCAATTTCTTTAAGATTTACTGGCAAAATTAACTAAAATAAGTAACAATAGTCCTGGCCTAAAGTGTGCCTGAAAAATGACAGTAACATTCACATCAAATTAAATGTATTATGAAAATTTATTTAACGAATAACAATTCACTCATTACAAAGTTTTTTTTTCGATAAGTCAATTTTTGTGACCAGAAAATAAATGATGTACAATAAGTTTCAAAATATGCTTTCGGTTACAGAGATACTAAAACAGGAGAGGAAAACACCTAACAATAAAAAAGTTTACTCAAACCTCAAGAGGTTAGGAAACAAACAACAAACTCATTTGATATTGAAGATTTACAATCAGACCAATTGCCTAGGCTTTTGAACTGTATCTCAATTGGGATCCTCAACATAAAGCCCATTTTGGAGCTCATCCAAGTAGTGGAATGATTCCTCTTGAACCTCAACAACAATGGGCCCCGTCGACTCTTGAATGATGTGCTCCGATTCTTTAAGAATGACTGAAGCCAACTCAAAAGAAGATAAACAGAAATATATTGGACGATGAAGCAAGAGGATTAGCTTTTTCAGAGCTATCCTCCTTTCCTTGGAAGAATTACAACATCTTTCCCTTTTTTCCTTTTTACTTCCTCCCACTCACTCAAATTTTGTTGAGAAATTGAATTCTCCTTCGCTCTCCATTCTTGTTTTGGATGAGTAGTAGGTTTGGAAAGGCGTGATGGAATGGTATGGCCAAAAGAATTACAATTAACACATCTTTGAGGCGTCCATGGAACCTCAATCCTTATTTGAAAAGGATCCCCCCATTGACCATAAGTGAATTGACAGAGTTTAATATTTCTTCCTAAGAATGTATTGTCTCCTAATAATGTATTGTCACGTCAAATTCAGTAAATAGATGTAAGGAACTTTCAGTATTGTTACCTGCCGAATGTGGAGTGTCATACCAGAAGTATTGACCAGAGACTGAAAAAAGTGCTCCACCAGCTGAGCATAACAGAGTTCCATAAATGCATCAGTTAATTACATTGGATAAATGTTTAAATGGGAAACAGGGAAAAGGGAATTAAATAAATAGAATTAAATATAAAAATATAAAATTACAAAAAAAGTATAGAAGATTATTAAACAATATTTGAAAATTTATATGAAGCAACTTAAACTAAAAGCACACCATTGTGTGAACCAAAAATAAAAATTACATGGAAGATTGATTAATACTGATGCTAAGCCAATGTTCCCGTGCAAAACCCTAACCATGCATAACATGTTTCACCCCACACTAAAGAGGCAGAATGAGAAATGGTGGAAAAGAGATTTGTGAATGTGGACGTAACAAAAGAATAATCTACCTGAGTGTCATATGTTCCAACTCTGTCAGTGGGTATGTGTAAATCATAACTTAAATGCGGCCGTCCAGATAAATCCTAAAGCAGACATAATAACAAAATAAGTAAATATATCAAGTTTGCACAAGAAATTAAATAAATAATTTCTGTTGAAACCCACAATAAATCATCAAAAAAAAGTAACAAAAAAAAGTTTATATGGTTCTACTTCTTTTTTTCAATAATCGTAAGCGATAAGAAATTGAACGCTTGCCCACCTCCCATTAAGATGCTGTGGGAGCACCTTCCCCACTGTGAATCCGTGATACAAACAGCTTTGGGAAAGAGCATCAGGGAGCACTTGTAGAGTTTTATCAAGACAATTCACACCTAGGACAAATGTGTGTGTACTTGCATGTATGTATTGGTATGGTCATAATTTGGTGGAAAGCTTCCACCAAGCTGTCCCTTAGGTAGTTTTCTATAGTTACCTTGTTCTTGCCACAACAACCTCTATATATCTTCCACTCGAGGTATGCTTTCTACATTGTTAGTTCTGTAATTAGTATGGATTAAATGCTTTACAGTCCAAGGAGAATAGAAGGGCTTATCCTATACTGCCTTAAAGAAGTCTTTTGCTATACTATACAATACTAATATATAATAGTATATTGTATAGCACATAGTTGACAAAGGCACGCTGGGTGTGTGCCTCAGGCACTAGGCGCATCAAGGCCCAGCCTTTGCGTCTGGCATAGCCTCAAGCGAGGCGACTTCAATCAGGCGCGCCTATTGGCAAGCCGCAGCAAGCGTAGGGCACATATGGGGCGCGTCTGATTGAAACTCTCTTTCTTTTTGTTTTTTCTAATGGTTGTTCAAATCTGATTGGTGCACATATATCTGACAGTGGACTTTACCACATATTAGAGATGTAAATAAGAGGGTAAAGTACCCAAAGACCTCAAGTTCAAACACACTAGGTTGATTTCGATTTAAAGCAAGCACACACAACCACCCCACCCCCCCCCCCCCCCCCCCCCCCCTCTCCTCGCTATTGCAGTGATTGTCTCTCCACGCGCGCGCGCGCGGGGGCGGGGGGGGGAGGGCTTGAACAACACAAGATAAAAAATTTATTGCATCAAAATATAACTTCTCATATAAGATTACCAGTCAAATGAATTGGTGGAATCCTCTTGATTGCACTGCTGAGCAAATTTTTTAATCACTCCCTCTCATCATTTAAGATTATCATCATAATCATTTTTACTCCGTGTCAATCTTAAAGACCACTAACATTCTACTTATATATTGCTCGAGTAAATCAACAGCCTATACCAAATTTTTTTTTTTTTTTGATAAGTCTCATCATAATATATGCATCCTCATCGTGCCAAACAGTCTACCAAATTAAATCAGCCCCAGACATAGTTTTTAAAATTTTACAATATAATTGAATTTTAATTGGATTTGAATCATTTGATAGAATCCTCATTCTATTTGAGAAATCACACAATCACTTCAAGATATAGTTTTTATATTTTCCCTCACACAATAAGATTATGACTGAAACCAATAATCAGCACTACTAAAAACATAAATCATACACATAGCAATTACTGAACCATAGCGATTTAATCATGTGATAAGAAATATAATCAACGAACTCTCTACTACAAAATCAGATAAAATTTAAAGCTCAAATCTCGAAAATTGAAGGACAATAAGTACAGAAAGGATAAATATAACTGAAATATCAAAACCATATCTTTTTACAGTCACATAACTAAAATACAGTATTACAATCAACGCTCAAATGATAGAATTATACAAAAGCACTTCTCGTTTCTTATGGAAAATGGAGTTCCTTGCTCATTCACTCCAACAATATAGTAATTCAACGCAGAAATCCTTCTAGCATAAAGAACTTCCATATTATGATATATTATTATTTTTATAAGTAATATTATGATATATTAACATACCAGTGAAACATGTATTAATGCTTCATCAAGAGGAGCTGAGAAGTCACCAAAGCGGTTAATTCCTTTTCTATCGCCGAGTGCCTTTAGCAAAGCCTACATAAATTAGAAAAGTTAAACTATTACTTTCAATACCCAAAGTAATGAAAATGAATGTGACATTACGTAAACACTAGCAAATGAGCAGCTATTTAGATGCCCATGATCCCATGAGGAATTAAACCAATCCATTGTGCTCTACAAAGTTTGGCAAAATACAATTCAACATATATTAAAAGGCATAACCAAATTCACCCTTATAAGATAGCAATGAGACATTTATTGAAATCTTAGATGATCAAGAAACACATAACAATAATTGAAAGCTCACTAATATAAAAGAGATTCTGAACAAATGACATGTAAAACACAGTGGACAAAATACAATATATGTTAGACGTCCAAACAACCATGAAAGGCATACAGAAAAGTTCACTAGCATTTGGAAGATTACCGTTCCAATAGCAAGGGCAACATCTTCATTCGTGTGATGATCATCGATATGAATGTCACCGGTAGCCTTTACATGCACGTCAAATAACCCATGCGATGCAAGTTGCTAACATAAACATCAAGAAGGAAAAAACACATCAAACAAAATTCAAAACAGAAGAGAAGATCATGACAAAATAAAAGCCTTTCGTTTGGATGCAGATAAAACAGGGGACAGAAAATATTCATATTAGGCCCAGTTGAATGTAGTTCTAAAAACTGAGAAGTATAACATTATTTTTTCCCTTCTCTACATTTCCTGGGCAAAAAAATGGAGAATAAGTTTCCACTATTTGAAGTATGAAGGTTTAATACCTAAAAAAATTCAAATCTCCTCCGGCAAAAATTTCCCATCAAACCAAAGAGGGAGTTAACCAAACTAAATTAGAAATTAGGTAAGAAGTACATACATCCAACATGTGATCAAGAAATGGGATTCCAGTACTGCTATCAGCAACACCCGTACCATCCAAGTTCATTTTCACCGACACATTGGTCTCATTTGTTACTCTTTTCACCTCTCCGATTCGATCAACAACTGGAAGTCGAAAACAATTAGTATTCATATTCAACAACGAATCTTTCAGAACCTCAGAATCGATATCAAATTGAAGAAAAATTAGGTTAGGGTTTTACCGGTATCATTTGGAAAAGATGTCACTGGAGAGCCGTTGTCACCGACCACGGAAGCGCGAGGGATTGTTCTCTGAGCGTCCATGAGACGAAGTCTGTCGTGGTGACGCAACGTGGAGAATAGTTGCTGGGGGTGGGAAGGGATGAGAGTGGTCTGCGAAACCCTAACCCTAGTTTTCAGTAATTGCGATGAAGAAGAACAGTTTAGAAGATGAGAAGGAGACAGCTCCATCCCAGACGATTGAGAATTGCAACCACACGACAGGCAATGTTTGATCGGCAAAGACCACAGTGGTCTTGCTTCACGACGCCGTTTAATTACTTATGACGTCGTAACCTCGTAATTATTCCTAGATAAAGTGTGTGGTAATTAACAGTAATTATTTATCTTGATGATGTGTTAATTAACAGTAATTTTTATAATTTAAGGTAAATTGCAGAAAACACTCATTTACTTTAAAATTTTCGTAGATTCCCCCTTGAACCTTCGTTTTGGTACAAAGTCCCCCTAAAACTATTCGAAGATGCTGCAAATCACCTCTTGCTATTTGGAACCATTACAAAGTTGATGCTGAAATTTCTATAAGAAATAATCTCAAAATCATTTTATTTATAATTTGACCCGTAAAGTAAATGGGTTATTGATTTCGATCTTATAATTCTCTCACACATATTCATATAGAGAAATAATAGGCTCTCTGAAAATGAAGGTCAAACTTGTATCTGAATGCACCAGCACCGCTGGATGCTTTCAAGTGAGATTCACATGAATCCAACGTGAAAGCACCTAATGACTTCTGTTCAGCCTTCCACTTTAGTCAATTTATAAATCATGATGCAAAGTCCTAATTTAAGTTGCAATTGACAAAATTTCTAATTTGAGAAAGATAGGTCTTGAATAACAGTTATATTATAATTCAATGGTTAATGATAATTACTTGATTGTTTGTTTACTAATAACATCATCAATAAGTACTAAGGTAACTTTCCTGGTCATTCTCTTGAGCATCAGTGCTTCCTTGTTAGATCATCTTATTCATAATGCATGTATTTCTTTTTTAGAATTGTGATTTAAGTAGGTGTTTTGTCTCGTCAAAAACTAAAGGGCATTATAATCCATCAACCAAAACTGTACTACCCAGAATACTTTTATACAGCGAAGCCTAACCAAACCAGATTGTGCACCAAACCAGATTGTGTCTTAAAATTATGAATTGATCGAATACCTGCTCATAAAATCATAATGTTGCAAATTATTAACCAGCCCAAGCCTATTCCAATATGTCCAGGTTTGTGAAGCAAGCCAGAGTTAGCCCCAGTGCATGAGACTTTGGTAATTGTAGGGTCCTTATTGGGACATAGCGGAAGCAAAAGAAAGAAAGAAAACAGCAATTCTAGCCACAACACAAGATATATACGTGGTTCACCCAAAATCAGGGTTACATCCACGGATGAGAAGAGATTTATTATATATGTAGAGATATTACAATAATAGAGAATTTCAACACCGGACCATGCACACAAACTCTTGACCGAGTTCTTCGTGTACGCCACGAAACTCCCTCTCGCCATCAGTGTTCACTCTACCAAACCCGTAACTCACCCCTACCATCATTGTACTCCCTCATGAGGCTACATCTCTTTCAACTCATAACTCTCAACAATAGCCTAAGTGTCTATTTATAGAGTCACATACCCAATTCTTTTGTGGACAAGAATTACAATTTCTTAGAACCCAATTCACGTTTTTATAAGAAACTACCATAAAAAATACACTCTAAAATAGAAACTAATAATAATGGAAAGTTGAGACATAATTCCTAACAGCCCTTAGAATGTCAGATGTATGCAATTTTATTTCTGCATGGAGGCAACTAATGATATACGTACCTGCCATTAATACAAGATTACATATTAAAAATTGCATTGCATCTCTCTACAAGTGCTTTAACACATTTATTTATTTATTTTTTTCTCCTCCTCCAAGCAGTAAACCTCAAGCACAAGAGGAAAGATCCTCATTGAGTACAGAAACAAGCCATGACGGCCAAACTTGCCAATGCAAGTCTCCCTCCCCTTGATTAAAGGCCCATTTACCCACTTGATGAGCAACTTTGTTACATAATTTAGGACACCATAAGAGCTTAAATCCTAAATTATTAAGTAACAGAGACTCAATATCCTGAGTAATAGCCATACAAAGAGAGTTAGATGGCCGCAAATTTGCCACGGATTGACAATCCACTTCAACGTCAACATAAGCGTAACCCCACTAACAAAGCAACTGTAGTCCTTCTGTTAAGACCAGAGCTTCCGCGGCCTCTGCACTGAAAGCTGTATCAAAAAATACGGATGCCACCTTGATAGCTTCTCCTTTTGCATTTCTAAGCACCAAGCCTCCCTTAGACCTACCAGAAATGGCGTCGAAAGCTGCATCAGTGTTAAGTTTAACTCTACCATTGGAAGGGGCAATCCATTTGTTCCCAAGAGATGGCCATTGTTGGGTTTGTAAGGAAGAGAGGGTTGATGGAGAGGATTCCACGGAATTATGAAATTCATGAAAATAAAAAACTACTTTTTCCATAATGAAGGTGGGATCCCAAGCAATTTTATTAAACATCCAATTATTTCTACCCTTCCAAAGTTGCCAAAGTAAGAAGGAGGCCAAGCTGAAGAGTGAAAACATTTCCTCACTATTCCGCCACATTGAAAATAACTCCCTCCATCTAGAAACCCAAGACCCACTGAAACCTTGAAACTGAATTCTCAAAGGACTAAAGCGCCAAATAAAGCGAACCTTTGGGCAGTAAAAAAAAAGATGGCAAATAGATTCATGTGATTCGCCACAAAGACTACATACTGTTATATGAATGATACGTCTTCTTTTCAGATTAAGTAATACTGGGAGGCGTTCATGTAAGCATTGCCATAGAAAAAAATGAAGCTTTCTAGGTAATGGGATCTTCCATATAAAGTGCCAAAAAAAATCTTTTACGGGCGAAGAACTTGTGCTTGCAGTATCAATAAAATGCGGAGATGGATTAGGGAGGTGTAAAGCAATTTTGTAGGTTGACTTAACAGAAAATTTACCATCTGCTTTAGAAAATTTACCATCTGCTTTAACACATTTACTACATTCCTTGAGACACCCTTCTTTGCTGGTGTCCCTAAACTCAATTTGATTATGTATAGACCCTTGATCTAACCAAAGACTTCAGATACTGCAGAAACTAGGAAGAGTACCTAATCAACCACGTGGTTTCAGGATTAGGACCCAATACCTAACATGCGGATTTTTTGAAACATCTAAAAACATATTGTATTAGTCCCTTTTGCTGTCGCAAGCTCATGTACTGACATATCTCGCAAGCTCATGTACTGATATTTCTCTTGGCAAATCAATCTTCGAGGTTCATCAATACTATACGATTGTTTTACCCTTACTAGTTTAATTGGAATCATCTTAGCCAGAGCAATGCTATGTTAGACGATACCAAACAAGATTAATCGAGTATCTCACATAACTGTGGACTCCCATCACAACAGTCGTTGTAGGCTTCACAACTACACGAGACAACCAAATGTCAAGTGTGCTAGATTAACTTTTAAGTTTCTACATTCAATTTTGACCACTACACTTCTGAAATGGAATCTGTCAAACTTCATAGTCCAAGTCCCTTACACGTGCGCGGACCATGCAATTTCTTAGTGGTTCATTCTCTGCCCAATTCAAATTTGAACGAAAGTTTGTCCACCTCTCTAAGGGCAAACATTTTCAGCTTTAGATAGATTTTGCCTAAACAATGGGTTGTAGACTTGTAGTTGGGTGTGCCATTAAAGTCACCCAACAAGAAAAAAACTGCATACTCTTTCATAGACATCGTTCAAACATTGCAATCCGAGGGTGCATTTGATGTCCAATTAATGAAAATTGTTTCTTCTTTTACTCTATGGAGCCATTATAGAACATAGGTAAAAAATGACTAGTCTAGTACACGAGACTGTCACTTTGGAGATTTGAAAAATATTACACATACGTAATTTTACCTTCACGCACGAAAAGATTCTATTAATTGAGATTCACTTCTGAATAACATCATCGTTTATGATGAATTGGTACCCTCTGAATATTATATAAAATATGGTAATAAGTCATGCAAAATTTGGGGGTTGAGAATTATACAAACATCACTTAAAGAAATTATATGTTGAACAATGTGGATTATACAAACAAATTAATAGAAAATAAGTGGAGGGTTGATGTCAACATGAGTGCTGTTTGTACGGTGCCTAACTGGATTTTTCTTGCTTTTCTTTTTCGGTGTTACAATTCAACATGGGAAGGTTGGTATGTAAAGACACTTTAAAAACGAGAGCAATAAAGGTGCTCAGTCTACGTGTGATTATCATTACGTGGCACTAGCTTTTATGTGTGATACACACACTTGAGAATTAAGCATGAAGTTGTTGGAGAAAAAAAGTTGCACTTCTAACACATTATTTATGTGATTACTTAAGTCTATTACTTTTCATCTTGTGCTCAAAGCTAACCACACAATTAAAAATTAAAATCCCATTTAACAATTCTAATATCTGTCACAATCACTCCTACGTGCTCTCCTCACTGATTGATTGAATCCTTAAGCTATTAATAACAAAAGAGGAATGGAAATTAATATGTAGTTGTACCCTTCATTTATGATAAATGATAGGCACATACAATTCATTGCATTAACACTATAAATATCTTACCTAAAAGTTGGCAACTTGAGCTATGAAATGTTACCAAGAAATCAGGATTAGGATTAGGATCTTTCATGTGCCGTGCAACAGAAATGGCTCAAATCGCTTACACGTGTTTCAAACAGAACAATCTGAGTCAGTCTTGCTGTACAACACGCTGCTACACATGAGTGATATGAGGTGTCTGTGTTGTACAGCAGGGGATCTTGGTTAGGCCATGTCCTGTTCACGAACCATCCATACCACCAGGTGTCTTGGACCATTTCCATTCTACCTTCTTTCAAGAACCACAACATAATTATGCTCAACCAATTATGTAAAAAACATAATTGTGCTGAACCAAAAAGTTGGGTTCATCACATGCATCTACAATAATATAGAATTAAACAACACTCTCTCTACACACATACACACACCGATACATGTATGTATATGTAAGCATCCAATTGAAAATTTGAGGAACTCATGCTTAATGTAATGTTAGTGGGTAATGTACATCAACTCATTTCAACCCCAAGTGGAACTGATTTTCACTAGGGTTGATAGTCTTGACATTCTACAAGCTCTAAAAGAATACATATATGCTCATTACACCATGTATCCATCGCTTTATTTTACACATCAAAAGAGAAAGGAAACATGTTAGTTAATTTGGGGGTGTTGTGTGGACTTGGTGAAACAATAACAAAGATAACTCATTTAGAAATCTATTGAATCAACTGGAAGAGAGGTCGCCCTTTGAAGAGTGTGTGGCAGCAATGCCCCTGAATAATAACTCTTGGCAGTGATCATTTGCTCTGGACTACAAGATCCGTAAGTGGACTCATAATCTCGGATCGTTTGGTTAACACATTTCTTCTCACCATTGACAGGAAAATATGAAGTGAGATGCTTACCAGAAGCAAAAGATTTTAGCAGAAGCTCACTATTCTCTTCCTCTGATGGTGTTGAAACTGACGATAATCTGAAGCTACTATCCTTCCTGTATTTTTTGTTGTTAAAAACAACAGTTGAAGATGAAGATTTTGATGGGACTCCTAATTGTTGATCTCTAAGCTCCCCCAACTGGATTTGATACTTAGCCTTGAGCCATCTTAATTCCTGCCTTATCTCATTCTCATAATCCTCTGCAAGAGCACGAGCTACTGAAGGATCAACGGACGGAGAAGCTCTCACATTGGACCTTTTCTCATTGTCCATATTTGTAACACACTCAACTTTTCTCAAAGTTGATTTATCAAATGATTCTTGTTCATCACCAGAGTGGAAGTCCCTGGAATATCCATCCGAGCTTAATTCCGGTCCATCATGTTGTGCCCAAATATCAGCATAATGTATGCCATCAGATTGGCTTGACACCACCGGTGCACCCTCGGTATCACATTGTTCAGACCCTTCAAATTGGTATGTGATCTCTTCAAACCGGCCATGTACAGCAGCGCATCCATGGTTAGAACATTGAATAATTTGCAGGTCCTTGGAACCTTGATTATTTGATGACATATAGTCCACAAAGGCACCATTTGAATTACAATTGTGGCAGAGTTTTTCACTTGTGTAATGAGAACTTTCATCCCTGCCTAGCCCTCTCTTCCACTCTGGTACCAAAGAAGCAATTTCACCGTCAATCATATCTGCTATCTTAGTCACGTCCTGGTCAATGATATCCAGCTCGGCTACCATTTCAGTAGCAACACTAAATGCAGTGTCACTCTCGGTGTCAAAAGGGAAGTAGATGTTTCGAACACGGCCTGCACAGAGAAATGTAATACTAGGTTGGTCTTATTCCCTTGTTGACAATTATATATTTACAGGCAATGTAAAACCAACAATATATAGAAACAGATCAATAATTAAAAAAAAAAAAAAAACCTTCTTTATCGCCAATTCTGAGCCTTAAAAAGATTCCATCATCTTCTTTCCTCCTCCCTTTGATGGTAATGTCAATGTGTGCCAAATGCTCATCCTCTTGATTAGTGAATAAATCAATTTCTTTCGTTCTAAACTCGACTGGATGGTAATCCAAGTCATTCTCGGTTCTGTAACCAAGATAATTAGAGCAACCATTGACTAAAGAGCTGCCATTGTGACGATTTATTAAGAGAGGCTGTCTGAAAAGAGGACCTACTTCATCAAAATCTCTGCAATATTTAATCCGCGTTAAATCCGAACTATAATCATCAATTTGGAGAAAAGGGTCTCTCAGGAGCTCCTTAGCAGTTAGCCTATGGGACACTGTAGCTAAGCATTTGTCAACAAATTGTCGCACTTCAAGATCCTCAACTTTGTACAAAGCCTCTGGTTTTCTCCCCTATTTGAAAAATGAAACTAGTTTAATGGTGAAGATAAGAAAATATACTTCAATGAGAGAAAGCAAGACAAAAGTTTCGATTTCGTACGGATATAACTTTCTTGTAAATCTGAGCAGGGTGAGTGCATTCACTATATGGATATTCAAAGGTGACCATTTCCAATATGCACATTCCAAATGAATATATGTCTACTAATTCATTGTATTCCTCTGCATAAACCTCTGGTGCCATAAACTCTGGTGTTCCTGATATGACACAATAAAATACCCCCCAAAAAAAAACTTAAATCCCCAAAGCTCTCTTAAATTGGTTCAATTCATCATTTCAGAACATGATACACTAAGGCAAATTCAGATTGGATAAATTTGCATTATGGTAAAAATTTCACATGGAAGTTGGAAAATTTCGAACTCACCTACACACCGAGCAGCGTGGGATTTTCGGAGGATTGCAGCCAGACCAAGATCACCAATCTTAACTTCCCCTTGATTCCCATTCACAAAAATGTTATCACACTTGAGATCTCTGTGGATTATCGGGGGGTCATGGCTGTGGAGGTAGTGGAGGCCTGTCAAGATCTGCCTACACCAATTCTTTATTGCCCTAATGTTAACTCTCTTGTGTTTTAGCCTATACCTAACAAAGAAAATGAATATAAACATTAGGACTAATAATAAAAAAAAGAGCAAATCAAAGAGAGAAATTGAGATTATGGAGCTTCCATAGTACTTACTGTCTGAGAGTACCAGAGGTGAACATTTCAGTGACGAAGTTTATGTTCCTGTTGGCAGTATCCACCCAAGAAGTGTAGAACTTCATGATGTTGATGTGTTTCAAGGTCTTGAGAAGATGAATTTCACAATACAACCTCTCTAGATCTTCAGGACTTTCAAGGAAATCATAAAGCTTTACCTGATTCCAAGCCACTTCAATCCCTTCATACTCATCGAAAGCTCTATAACTGCAACAACAAACAAACCAACCCACAAATGAAAAACACACAAAAACACCTGAAATGACAAACTAGGGAAATTCAATCGCAGGGTGCCAAAAATGATGTAAATTTGCAGAAATTTGAAAAGGGTTTTCAGAAAAGAGGTTCATACACCGTCTTTGAAGCTCCTTTGCCTAGAATTTCATTGTACTGAAAAAAGTAGGAACATAGAAATCAAAGCCATACTTGTTATACAAGGAAAATAAAATGAAAGTTAGAACAGTAAAATGGGAAATGAAAAAAAAAAAAAAAAAATTACCCTTCCATATCTTCCAGTTGGATCAACTTCAACAAATTCAGAGGAATCTGGTTCCAGGACAGTAACACCATTCATAACTTATTTTTCTCTATACCTTCTGTTCTATTATATTTTTCTCACTCCTGGGATAATTGAAATTACTTAGGAAGAAGAGAGAAAAAGATGATATGTGCACTCATATAAAGTTCACAATACTAGAAGACGAATTTAGTGGAATATAATAGGGTTGTTATAAAAAAAAATAGTATTATTTTTATGTGAAAGAAGAGGCCTCGGTGAATCCATCAAAAGGACAAGGTATTCTCAACCAACTCATCGACAACGAGGCAGAGGTTTCTGAAGGCTATGGACTACTCTACCCCCACACACAAATCATGACAAAACACACACACACACACTTACTTTTATCTGTCAGTGACTCTACCTGTGTCCTTCACGAGCTGTAAAACCAAACACGGACGTACACAAATCACTTTCTCTCTGTCTCTAGTCTCTACCCGTAACATGGCCTGCAACAACTTTACTAGACAATATTTAAGGGATTTAATTGTACCTAGTACCAGCCTCTGGTAGACAGCAATGTAAATATTTAAATTTACGTTTTGGAAAGAGAGACTATGGTTATGATAGTTTCACGAAGCCACTCTAATTGAATCATCATATATATATAGATTTTCGACCATTGCATGAACATTAATGTATATATACGCATATATACAAGGTATTTGATACAATGACAATACAGTATTTCTTTCCCACATTAATACGTGATAGACTTGCAAGGATTAATTTGCAAAGTTGTGTTTATTTCTTTTACAATTATTCAATGCAGCTTTGACTAATTGCATTTACTAACTTAGCAGATTCTAAAACTGAATTATTAATATGTTTTGTGCTTTAACATGAAATTCAGGTCAGTTTTATGGGCTTTAAAATGAAGTACACACCAGTTTCAGGTAAAAGCTTCAAACTATTGAAAACTGGTTCAATCCTTGAAATTAGCTAAAGTAATCAATTTCACAAATTAATTTTTGGAAGAGTTATATTAAGTAGCAGTAAGTTATTTTTGGACAAAAAATTACATCACAAGTAAATCCTACTTAAGATCGACAAATTAAGCAGTTACTATATATATATATATTTGGAAATGAAATTATGTCACAAGTAAATCCTACTTTGACTAATTTAACCGAGCTTAATTTGTTTTAAATGGAACATCCAATATTCATAATATGTAATTGATAATGCAGTTTAGTGAAGATGATGGATGACTCCAAATCTTACTAAAAATTTGATCCAATTGTGATTGTTAGGAGCAGTCAAACTAGTGTGAGCTGTGTGGAGAATGAGGTTCATTTGTTTAATAACCCTAATCTCACCTACCCCAAAACCTTTTCAAAAGGTGGGGGATCACTATCCAACCCCACCCCCACGCCCACGCCCAAACTCTGAGATTTCCAAGATGGAACATATTTCATCCTTATCTTAATCATTTTCACTTTTGATTTCAATCGCTTACACCTCCATCTTTTTACATATGGTAACATGCAAACCAATAAATAAATTTTTTTTTATTTAAAAAAGGGGTCTTCTTCATCATGGTAATTAGTGAGCATGGTTTTCACCCTTTAATTTAATAATATTGGAGTTAAGCACAGGTTAATTGACATTGTGGATTCAAGAATTTTAGTCGATTTTTATAACTGATAGATGTATGAGATCTTGTTAGACACTATTTATCGGAAACGCTCGATTCATTTGAATGTAGGAACATTAGTCTTCTTAATTATAACAATGAAATCTTATTATATTATAATTTGAAGGACACGAGTTAATCAGATAACGTTGCATATATCATCATTCTCTACAATGACGGGTCTTTATGCACTGAACCAGCACTGACCTATTTCACCTTTTTTCACATGTGCCTATCCCAACCTTTTTCATGTATGTTTGTCCCAATTTTTACCTTGTCTACATAATTTTGAGGCCCAAACTTTGTTTTTGCAACATGACAAATGTACTTTTACTAATTTTGTCTTGCAGTGAAAAAAGCGAAATGAGATCAATTTCTATTTAACAAGGAAAGTAGTTGATTATATTAAAAGTTCCGTCTATTTGTTCCGGTGACGAAATCTTTAAATAAATTTTGGATTTGGTTTCTGTCAATGAAAGATACTGCATTTTGATTGGTTTTTTTGTTAAGATTTGTCCAAATTCTCCTCCTATTATTTTATTCTTTGTAATTCAAATGCATAGTTTGATAGTTATCTGCAGATTGGAGCTTTTACGGACCTTGAATTTGTCTGAAGTAGTTTGGACCATGTGTAAATTTTGTCCTTTACATTTGAAGTAGACTAAATATTAAATTAAAGGTGCTACAAATTTTTATCTTAAGTGACAACTTTGTACAAAATAAACTTTTATTTGAACACCAATTAAGAAGTAAGAGAAAAGAAATATATATATATATATATATATATATATATTTACATTATTTTCACCTTAGCCATAATGAATGGTCAAAATGATGTAACTAATCAAATTAAACGTCACTCGTTAAATTTCCCTCTCATAAGATTAGTTTTCATGAGATTTTCTAACTTACCTAACACAAGTTTCTTAATTTAATCTCACGCGGCACATAATTTTATAAGTATTATTCCCACTTAAAATATGAAATAAACTCTTAACAATTAAATAAAAAATAAAAAAATTTACTACTAATTTTCTTGGTAATATAACACATGTTGCTCTTAAAAACATTGAAATTACTTGTTAGTCTATGGAGAAGCAACAAACAATGTGAAAGTGGAGTAATTTGGCTACGGGTGCGATTGTGTGGTAGTTTGGAGGGTAGGGTGCATATGGATATGGATGCATGCCAATTCACCTAACATGTTATATTGTACGCATACGTTAGTGTAAACGTAGGGACCCTGATAATCATGTTTTTAGGTCCATCCAAACTGTCTTTATTTTCTTGTATATATATGCTTTTTATGTGTGTGTGATGTGTGTGTGTGTATATATATATATATATATATGTATATATTTGTGGGCAAGTATGCATGCTAGTTAAAACACGTGCAAGGGTTTGAAAGCGATAAAATCTAACTCAAATAAGTTGGGAGCGGAAATAAGAACGCGTTCAAAGAGTGAAAACAAAAATGCACACGAAACGTAAGAGTGACATTTGGTGAAAATAATTGTGTGACTTAGAGAATTATAAATATCCTTTTTTAAGGCAATGCATATGGATATTCATTCATCAATGGCCATGTAGTTAGTCATACTTCTTTACCTTTCAAAGTATAAGGTGAAGAGTTTAAATCCTTATATTATCAAAAGTGAGTGTGTGTTAAGTGGATACACCCAAGATACTGAACATCCATCAAAATGCTTTGGATCTATGAAGCACACAAACTACATTTGGGTGCCGTAGCAGTTTCAAACACTCGGATACTGGACATGTGTTGGACACGACTAGAAGTGTCCTGAAATTTGAATATTTTATTTTCTGGTTCGAAAAGGTTGAGACACGTTATGGACATGTTTTGGACATCTTCTCGACCTGGCAGGATAATTTTGTAACTATTTTTTAAAAATAATAAAATTCAATGCAATTTTAAATATATTAAGGACTAAAACAAAAAATAATATAAAATTTAAAATAACAAACATTTAATGCTAAATTCCAAATTAATGCTTTCATGAATAATTATGCGGATGGAATGAATAAAAATAATATTATATATATATAAAATAAAATATTATATTATTATTTTTTTAACGTATCTATATTGTATCCTTGTCATATTTTAAAAAGATTTACAATATCCCATAACATGTTGTATCCGTAAATGTGGTTTCTAGCTCCGATGAAATATATATATATATATATATATATATAGAGAGAGAGAGAGAGAGAGAGAGAGAGAGTATGTATATCAGTATATATATAAAGAGAGATAGTATTGATCGATAGCTGGAAAGATGGGTAGGCTTCACTTTGTAGCTTTTGACATTTAATTGTTAGGATTTAGGAGTGGAATTGCTTTATCGCAATCTATGGAGCCTAACTCCAACATGTCATATAGCTGATAGCCCACATATGAAACTCTTATCTGTAAACATGGGAACGTGGAGAGGACATAGTTATAGATTTGAAGAAACGTTATCCTTGTACCAAACTAATTTAACTTAGGTGCCATCTAACACGAGAATATAGTACAAGTTTTAATTAATTTCTTTTTTTTCAACATTTGGAATATCTATCATTTAGTACTTCCTGCCAGTGAACATTAAACACGGAAAGGTATAATTTTGTCGATGAAAATTAAGATGATGTTTAGACAAATTTTTTTCTTCTGATTTCTCGCATGCAAGCTTGTTCATGTGCACATTTTTTTTAGGCAAATAAGAAAGGTAAACCTAGAAAAACTCAAAACAAAAAGGACAAAAATTGAAGTTTAAATTCACTGTGAAAACATAGTTTAAGAAAAATAAAGATGACAATGAACATTAAACATAATTTTTAAGTATATTTTGAGAACCCGAGTTCATTGGTCACATTTTGATAGATATCATAAGGAGGATGCGTGACATATGCTGTGATTTTGTCGTTTTCATTGTACTTTTGTTTTATGTAATGGATAAACAACATCAAGTGTTATAAGAGATCAATGCCTTCTTTTCTTTACTATTTTATTTTGAGATCAAGTGTTAAAGTATTAGTCAAGTTCAATGTCTTCTTTTCTTTACTATTTTATTCTTTTTTTTAAAAATTTAAATTTGTTGAGAGGTGACAACACAATGCCCGCAAGAAAATGATCAGTCAATTGAAAAAGTTCATTCTAATATAGCTGTCAAATGACTAATTATCCTTCAATATTCAACTGACTTGAAGACGTGGTCTCGTAAATTATCAACAAGTGAAGCATAGTAGCACCGTTCTTATTTCCCTTCATACTTAGTCTCAAGCACGATATTCTCCAAAGTCATTTACTGTATATATTTTTTAACACTTAGCTATAACCGATAAGCACTTAATGATACTTTCAACGTTTAAACTGAAACACTTCAGAAGTAATATTCGGCCGAACATTCCTCTTTAAGTGGTTTTATCTCATTTTCAAACAAATATGAAATAATCACTTTTTGACAGGATTTAGGCTCCCTTTGTTTGGAAGTAAAATATTTTTCACAAAATATTTTTTTATTTTCTAATATTTGATTATCATAAAATA